ATGTGTTATGTGTTTTGAGGAAGTTTGATTGTTCTATATTCATGGCATTAAGACCTGGTGTTTTTGGGGATTAAATTTGAGTTTTGTCCGAGGACAAGCAAAAGCTAAATGTAGGGAAATTTGATATGAATGTAAAATACATAGTTTTTCCTCTATATTTAATATGCTCGTATGATTATTTTATGTTAAAACGTACTTATTAATCTCATATTTTGGTTTAGGTGGAAATTTGATAGATATAGCGTAATTTGGAAGAAATATGTGGAAAAAGACGAAAATATTAAAAAAGCGAAAGTTTGGGGACTAAAGTGCAAATACTCAAAAGTCATGTTGAACCTCACAATGAAGATTTGAAAGTGTTAGAGGTCAATTGGATGAATATATATAAGTCAAATGGATGAAATACAATCAAAGTATTATCAAATATCAACTTTCAGACGAAAAAGTTATGCATCGATTTTTTTGCCTCATATTGAGATCCATTTTTGACATGGAAAACGATTGAATTGGAAGATGGTTTCTGAAGAAAAGTTATATCCCTTTGAGTTAGATTTCTAATGTATCTTGAATCACCTCAATCGGATATTGAGAGAGAAAGATATGTCCAAAACACTGAACACTGTCCGGAGGAAGAATTTAAAGCTATGCGGTCGCATAGCTTAAAATCAATGCGTTGCATCCACTGCTCCAGGGAACTTCAGGGTCTGTTTTAATTGTTCTATGTGACTGCAACACTTTCTACTATGCGGTCGCATAGTTCATTTTGGTGACACAATTTTCTGGTTTCCTAATTCCATTCAACTACGTATGGAAACAAATCTTTTGGTCTTATATCAACCCTAAAACACCTGAAAAATAGACCTGATCGCCTCCAACCTATTTTCTCTCTATTTTTCTTAGATCTATCATGTGTAACTAACTCTTGGTGCTTGATTGAAGGATTCCGAAACCTTGGAAAACATTATAACTGTGAGATCCACCTATTTTCATTGTTCAATTTATTAT